GTGAACACTTGTGCTTTGAGAGGAACCGTAGTGTTTAATACCTGTTCTGTATGGGTTTCCATCTCAAGGCGCTGATAATCCATATTCTGCTAGATAAAGAGATAGTTGAGTCTGACACACACAAGGATCTTGGCTGAAGTTACAATATTGCCTTCTCTGTGTGTGTGTTTTTTAATTAGGAAAAAAAAAAAGATGAAAGTATTACAGCAGGCTAGACCAATAAGAAGAAGCCTTAGTGTCACCTAATCTGCATCTTGCCACTTTGTTATCCTCTTAGTTCCCAGGCTATTTTGTGTCTTGCGAAGCAGCTCTCTGTGCTCAGGTCCTGGAGTCTTCTGCGTGTTGATTTGAAAGCACCAACAAGCGTGTTTAGTCAGAAACACTGGTTGGTGGTCAGTCACTGGTTCTGACTCAGCCGTGGCATGATGAAGAGCTCTCTCTGCGACTGGGGACTGGGTTTTGCTTGGAGGATATAATGGTAAATAGTAAAACACACCAAGTTTCGGTTAAAATGTTGGGAATATGGTATGCTTCTACTGCTGTGAACCAGAGAGGATTGTACCAATAGGTGGGTAAACAAGTTTTTAAATATATTAAAATACTTAGTTTAATTCTGGTGTTATAAAGAATTTAAAAAGCAGTGCCTGAATTGAAAACACATTTTAAATTTTTTTTCTACAACAGAAGAGTATTCATGGCTTGCTACCTATGTAATATTTAAGAAGGGTGTGCCTTTCATGAAGATGGCATTAAATGAAGAATGCTTTTTCTTTTCAGTGTTTATCACTGTGGTGCAGCTGAGTGTCAGTCAAGGTTTGGCAGCTGGTTTTAAATTAACTCATTTTTAGTAGATCTGCAGATTCTCAGATGCGTAGTTTTGCTGAAAATGTTTTGTTTACTTGTTCTTGCTTTATGAATAGTGAGGCTTGGGTGTACTTGACATTGTCGGTCTAAATGTTAGAGAGTTGAACTATGAGACACTTCATAATTTTACAAATCTGAAAGTTTTTCATAGTTCTAATGGCAAGTGATGAGGGAGACATAAAATAGCATATGGTAGTAAACTGGTAGTATATGCTTAAATTTCACAGGTGCATAGTATCTCCAGGTGACCTCAAAGAATCCTATCATATTGATGAATTGAATACTTACAATTGACAAGAATGAATACGTACTTGGCCTTGAAAGCTTGTCTATTTTGATGTTTTGGACAATATTGTATTTATAAGGCTAATTTTTTAAAATCATCTTAAATTATTTAAAATTTGAACTACTGAATGAAAGCCCACTTCACATTTCCTGATGTGATTTGAACAGGCATTAGGAACAAATTAATTTTATACTTTGAAAAGGTAAAATACTTGATCCATTTAAAACTTCTTTAGAATGGCATATTTTCATAAATGTTAGTATGTTTGCATAATAAGTGCAATCTGCTTTTATGATGTTTCATTTAAACCTCAGTAACAAACACAATTATCTGTATATATCAGAAATTGCAAGAGGTTCCTGTTAGTTTACATTTATTGAGGAATAGATGGTGCACTAGGTGTACCAAGATTGCTTTACAAGATTATGTGCAGAAAAATCGGTGTGGAGAAATCAAAATCTGTAACAGCTGGCTTTCCAACAGCAGAGTTGAACTTTCACGTGTGCTCTAATCCAGTAAATCTTTCTGTATTTTGTGTTAAGTGAAACTCTTGCAGTGGGCTACAATTCATTGGTACTGTGAATGAAAAATATTATTTTGTCACATTTTTACTTTTATTCAACCTAAGTTGTGTAAGTCTAATGAGTACAAAGAATGTTATTTACTGATTTGTCAGTTTTACTTCCTAAAATGTTTGACTCTTCTCTGGAAAGTCAATGCACTGGACCTGCCTTGGCTGTAATATCAATGTAGCACTTGCGCTAATACCTGTCAGCTATTCTTTTGAATGTGATTATTTGAAAATTCTTTGCCTTTTAAATGACGATGTAATTTCAACCACTGCTTGACAGAAATGCAGATAAGATGCTTTCTGATAACCTTTCTTTTCTGAGATTAACATGAAAAAAAAAATGAAGTTAGCACTGTAGAAATTATCTGTGAAGTACAATTTTAAAAAGGGAGTACAAGTAGCTTCTACTAGAGATATTTGAGAACGTTTTATTTTGCCAGAGAAACCGTCTTGCGGTTCTTACTAAAGATGAATAATGCACCTGCCAGTGGAAGCAGGTTTCTGCAGTTTTACCCTTCGGTAAAGACAATGTGAGCTTCCTTGTGTTTTGAATATACTTAGCATTGCATCATTTCAAGAATGAAGCGCAGCTAGCACATTTGTCATTCTTCCTAGTCACAAAGGTAGATTAAAAGGAAACAAAGTGATTTACGTGCTCATGCTCAAGCTCAATGCTTTTTGTATTTGCTAATGAGGGCAATAATGTGTATGTGCAATTCTTCTAAATGACAGTACAAACTTGCACTTCATGTGCAGCTGTTTAGTAGCATAACGGTCTTCTGGTTCCCTTCAGGTACTTAAGGTTCTGTCTCATAAAGTGGTTTTTACTGTTCATTTATTATTTTACTGTTTATTTCTGTTCTTGAAACTCCGTGGGTGTACTTTCTTCTGTATGTCCTGCAGAATGCTGGTACTCTAGTCCTAATGTCATGTCTTGCAAGGTCTTTCTTATCAGTGCTGTAGCACCCTGATACCTGTAGAGGCAACAAGATTGAAGAAAAGTGTATTTTATTTGGTAGATTTTGTCTCATCTGTTGATATGATGACTGTTGCGGGGCAGGTATGTTGTTAAATCATCAAGACATCCCTGTATTTCTTGGAACATACCAGTTGCAGTTCTACGTGACTAGACTGTTCTGGGTAGGATCCCGAAGCTGCTTACATCTGTGGCAGGCCTAAGCATCTATGGTATTTCTTTGAAGATCAGCATATAGAAATAACTACTCTATTTCTCAACTTCTAGTAGAATAATGTTCTTCTAGATGTTTAGATTGCTGTTTCCTTACGTATTGGAGACAGACTTCTTAGTAGGACCTGTAGTGATAGGACAAGGGGTAATGGTTTTAAACTCAAAGAGGGAAGATTCAGAGTAGATAGAAGGAAGAAAGTTTTTTTTTATGAGGGTGATGAAACACTGGCACAGGTTGCCCAGAGAAGCTGTGGATGCCTGATGCCTGGAAACATTCAAGGTTAGGTTGGATGGGGCTCTGAGCAACCTGGTCTAGTTGAAGATGTCCCTGCTCATGACAGTGGGGTTGGACTAGATGACTTTTAAAGGTCCCTTCCACCCCAAATGATTCTGTGATTATAACACAACCAAGAGCCAGGAGATGGTAAGCCAGATAATGGAATTGATCCATCTAGGAAGGAGGGAGAAAGGAGAAAGGAAATCAGTTTAGTTTTTCTCCTGGATCAGTTCTCTGAGTTGCTATGTAAATGCACAACAGCTGAAAACAATGCACGTGAGGATGCTGCAGCACGTGCCTGGGGTTAAGTTAGCTTAATGAGACCCTGGTACCACAGCTTTGGTGTGGGTGTTCTGCGTGCTAGTGTATGGTCTGTCTGGTGATTGTACTGAACGTACAGAGGAAAAGGAGGACGTGTTTTCACTGATGTTACTTTTCTACTTAGACTGTCTAAAAATATTTTACAGGAAGGCGCAAACCACTCCTCTAACTCCACTTCAGATATTAATCTTTTGTTAAATTTTTTCCAAACTTTCTGCCGATGAGGGTAAGGAACTGTGTAGTTTTTGATTGCCTGCTGGGTAGTTACAACTAGTTTATGTTTAGACTACTGTTATTATGATTAAATTACTACTCCTAATGACAGAAATAGGAAAAGAAATCAATAAAATTTCAGTTTGACATTTAACTTTTTTTGGATCTCTTCTGTTCTTAAGCCTTGCAGGATTATTATTGTTTCTGTAGACTAAACCAGGCCAAATAGCTCAAGTTAAACCTATTAGAAAGCTGGCGTGTATTTAAAGACTCAGAACCATCTGGGAATGGGATCACACGTAGTGGTTCTTAATATAGACAGCTTTGTCATTACATATCTATTTGAGAACCAATTAATTTGCACTGACCTGAAGCAGTGTTGTGACACACTTGCATAAGTAAAAAGGTTAAAAGTATTGTTGAGCAGAAACTTAATATTTTTCTATATATATTTAATTTCAAGGATAAACGTAAGAAGACTGGAATTTATATATAATGTTTTGAAAGAAAACCCAAGTTCTTCCTCTGGCTATTTTTATTCACCTTTGCCAGGCACCTTCTTTTGCTCATTGTTGGGTTTGGGGTTTTGTTTTTTCCCCTTTTTTGAATTAGCTTATAAGTTCCTCTGTGTAAAGTGCCTTCTAGGGTTGTAAAAATCACTCCCCAATGTTGACTGGGTTCCTAAGTGTGTATATAGCATAAATAATAAAGTGAAACAAGCTATTCTATATTTGGAAAAAATTAATGCTGAGATACAGTGTTTAAATGTGACATTAAAATTTAGCCTTATTACTGTGTAAGAAAGCTAAAAATTTCAAATAGGATTTTTTCAAGAGCAGCCAAGTACTAAATTTTTTTTGCTATAAAAGTTCTATGATATTTTAAATATGCTATTTCATGTCTTTTTAGAGGATTTAAATACTGTATACCTTGTGAAAATAAGATATTGCAGATATAATCTGCCTGTTCAATTCACCAAGAAGTATGTGAAAATGAAGAGACTGCTGGAGCCTTTAGCAGTGGGAAAAGTTTATTTCTGTTATTGGTGTTGAACTTGTAGATGGTGAATAGGTAAGATGATTCTGTAGATAAGAAGGTAAAATTGGACCTTTATTTCTCTGCTGCTTGTATTTGTAATTTTTATATGCAGGAGTCAGGCATAGAAAAATTAACGTCATTTCTCTTTGTGACAACATAGTGCTGCATTTTTATTTAATGCTAAATTCTAACATGGTGTAGATATTACCCAAAATTTCTTTTATTTTTGTTGATTTTACAGTGGAAGAATCTGACATAATTGATCTCGAAAAACGTTACTGGCTGCTAAAAGCTCAATCAAGAACTGGACGTTTTGATTTAGAAACATTTGCCCCCTTAGTTTCCCCTCCTATTCATCCATCTCTGAGTGAAGGTATGGAACTTCGATCAAACGTGCAAGGAAGTGATGTTGCTGTTGTGTTCAGTACCTTTTGGTGTACCAACATACACATTTTATGGCTTTATAAGTAAGCTTATTAAAAATGTTTTTTAAACTTAAATTGCAGAGATTCATTCAACTGAGCTTTGGATGTTTGAAAATGAGACAAATGTCCGAGAAATTTCTATGTGTTGGGAAATCTGTAATAATGACAAAGTGATGCTTGTTTGTTGCATTTTTACTAGTTGTCAGGAAATATGGCAGACTTTATGTATAATTTGTCCTGTGGTTGCTTAAAATTTTTCATTGGGTTCCTTAAGATTCTGTAATGACAAAATATACTGCTGTCCCTGAGTGAGACAAAGCAGAATACCATTTTTAAACTGACAAGTGTGAGTTTTGTCTACTCAGTGACAATTCAGCATGCCAGTCAGAAGTTGTATCATGCAGTCCATGAAACAGTCTTTACTAGTGTAAGTTAAGGAAGATTTTGTTCAGAAGACTTGGTCAGGAGACTCTTATGTTGCAATGCAGACACGTTAATAGCCACGCTGGTCTTTCAAGTTAAAGCCACTCTGATACCAACTGGAGACTGCAATTGTCTAATTGCCATTTACTGCACAACATTAAGGACATTATACAGTAATGTCCTACTTACATGCTAGTTTTTGTTTGCAGACCTAGAGTGACAATTTTTTATCACCAAATGGTCAGCTTTACTGACAAGTGCCAGTACTAAGTAGAAAAAGGGAAATGCATCTGCAGTGGATGCAAGCTGTTAAAACACCAGAACTCATGTTCAGTTCGGTAGGGATATATCCCCACATTCTTTTGCTCATAAGTGCATTTTATCTGCTTAGTCATATAGATTTATGCAGCTGCTATGGGGAAACTTGAATGGTTTCTGATCATTCTATATGTCTTCTGTGGATAGTGCAACTGAGACACTGTCACCAAAAAAAAGGCGGGGCCGGGGGATAAAAAAATATTACCTATGCTGAATGAGTAGAACTCTTAAATACTATTTCGTCCTTTAGCTTTTGTGAAAATGCTTGTCCTGACCATACTGGTTTAGATGTACACTCTATAAATCACTCATTACAGAATAAGGCTACTGTTCAGAATTCTTGATCCCTCCCTCCTGCCCTCCCGCTTTGTCTAGCCATACATCTAATTCGTCTTTAAAAATGGTCTTAGTAGTGCTTAATTATCTTCATTACACTTAGTAAGAATTAGTTATAATCATAAGTGTTTATACTTCTCCTGGCAAATGTTAACCCTTCATGTAAATGCAAAGTATTATTGTCAGCTGTTTCAGCCAGATGCTGTAACAGGAGATGCTTTTGTGGTTTGCAGGTTTGTTTAATGCTTTTGATGAAAACCGAGACAATCACATAGATTTTAAAGAAATTTCCTGTGGGCTCTCAGCATGTTGCAGGGGACCCTTGGCAGAAAGACAAAAGTGTAAGTATGTGGAATGTTAACTATTAGTTTTAGAGAGGTTTTTCAGTTTGAGCAGTGAAGTTTAGTTGTTTTCACTTTTTTAGAATTTTTTTTCCAATGAACAAATGTGAGTCTGTGAAAGGTGACACGTTTTAGAAGTTAAAAAATAAAGAAATTTTAAATATCAAGGTGTCCTTTTATAAAGGGTGATTAAACCTCATTCTGTATATTTTATAATTTATCTGTACCTTCATTTAAATTATCAACCTGTTTGGGAAAAGAAAATGTATTTCAGAAGTTATTTTGCAGTGTTCTGCATTATGATGCAGAAGTGTGCATCTCAATATAGAAAGTGCAAACACTTATCTATTCATTAATATAAATCGAACGTCCTATTTGATTGTCTTGTGGTTAATAGCATGTTCTGGCTTGTTTACTGTTCAGTTTTCAGCTGGCTCCCTGCAAGGTTCTGGTGTTTTGAAATATCTTTGTTCCATACTTTTCCAAAGCAATACTGGTGCAACTTAAAAGCTATCATTCACTGGAAATTTCTGGATGTGCATATGTTCCGTGCTATGCCACATCAGAAAACACAGCACAGAATTGCAAGAATCTAGATTTCAGTTTATTAAACACAGCTGCTCCGTTTCCTCACTACCACACATGCATCCTGCCTCATCAAAACTGTCAGCACTAAATCATGTTCTTGTTACTCTGCAGACTTAAATTCTGCAAGAAAGAAAAAAATAGTTGTTGAGTAGCTCTAACACAAAAAAGTAATTTCCTTTTTTCTCAGTTTGCTTCAAGGTTTTTGACATTGACCGGGATGGTGTGTTGTCTCGCACTGAACTTAAAGAAATGGTGGTTGCACTTTTAGAGGTCTGGAAAGATAACCGTACTGATAAAATACCTGTAAGTTATATTTGTGTTTTTATGCATTTGCTTCTGTTTCTTAAAGTCATCCTTCAAAAGTAGGAACGTGAATGTTGTTTGAACATAGTTGCAGTGAAATTGGGGCTTCCTTGAACTACCGTAGCTGATGAGTATTGACAGCTGGATGTAACTTACTTGCATAACTTTGATCTGCCATTAACCAGAGCAGAATGGTTTGACTGCAGTGTGTGCTGTTTCATATAAAGAAACCTCAGGTACCAAAGTATGACTGTCTGGAAGCACTCAGTTGCGAATTGCATGGAGGTATATCATCAACATTTCTTACAGCTATATTCTTACAGCTGAACGCATGCAGCTCCAGAGAGTGCTGGGAGAATTTAACTTTATTTTCTAATCCTTTTGTTTGTTAAGGAATTGGACATGGATTTGTCTGAAATTGTAGAAGATATTTTGAATATGCATGATACCACAAAGGTAGGAAATTATCGTTCTTTCCTTGTCATTTTTGTATCCTAGTATCTTCAATGTATTTATAACAAAGTGAAATCTTGTGCTTTCTTTAAAGCAGAGGTGTGTCAATAAAAGAATCTCTTTCAAGAAATGTCAGTTTTCCATTAAAATTTTCCACGTTGTTCTGTGAGAGAATATGTTTGAATTCTATAAGCCATTTTTGTCTGTGAAACTAAACAGAAAATACAGAACCAGATGAAATTAATTTGAGGCATACACTGTTTGTAAGGCTTTGCTACGCATAATGAATACAAGTTTTAACTCTGATCCTTGTCTTTTGTTCTGGAGAAACTGTGCTTTGGTTTCATATTTAAAATGATCTTATGAGAAGAGGGGTAGTGCATTAGTGTATCTTATATTTAATGCTATGTAAAGACACATTATCCTCCTATGCTGGCACAGAGCTGTATTAATTCAGTAGTAACTTATGCGTTATCATTATCTAACTACTTTGTTTGCAATAATAGTATGTACAGCCAGTGAACTATGTACAACGGTGTTGTTTCAGAGTTAAGTATCTGTGAAACTATGGAGGCATCTGCCATGACTGTTGTGACATGCAGCAAAAAGTCTTGGTAGTTTCTGTTGTGCTATATAGTTAGCTGTGTGTAAATCTTTAATTATGTTCTTGCTTTTTCAAGATAGGCACTATCATCCGCAAACGATATAGGGGAAGTTGTTTCCATTATTTCATTCTTTGCTTCACTAATTAGGAAGGGTCTGGAAACTAGAAATAATTTAAGAAAAACTATAAAGAATGTCTAGAAATGCTTAATTACTTGTTTGAATAGTTGCCTTGCCTGCTTGTACTCCAACAAAGTGGTGGGCAAATATTTTATTCTTTCATTACCAAAGCTGTAGAAAATACGACTGCAGTGAGCTCTTTTTTTCATCGTTTGAGATTTTTATTGTTTGCTTTTTTAAAAAGGGTAGTACATAAGCAAGCGTATAGCAGACTCGTTTCCACAAAGAGTTAAAAAAGAAGACTAAGTCTTCAGAATATCTTTCATAGTTCTATCATTAATGCAGTGCTGGAAAGAGCTGATGGTGTAGTAATTACATAAATTACTTAACCTCTTCTCATAATGTTAGCTTTGACCTGTGTGAACTCTGGAGAAAATGGTCTGTAAGAAGAGGCTGACTAACTGCCACTGCTGAAAAAATGGCTGTGAATTATGTTACAATGTAAAAAATTCCGATTGATCCTATCACGGAATTGTTGACAATCAGAAGGTCCTCTGACATTGGTCAGTGTTATGCTACTGTAACTTTGCAAGTGATTAAGAATTAACAGGACTTATGTTGTAATGTAAGATCTTAAGAACTTGATGATCCAAAACAGTTTCTCCCAACCCACAGACGAAGATGGTGGGTTTCTGAATGGATGCAGATATCTATATGTGCAGAGCTGATTTGGACAATCAAAGTCTTAGATTGTCTTAGTCTTGTTTTGTTTCCTACAAAATGGTTGCCCTGACCAGTCACATACTGCTTCTGCTGGTTTCATGGTTTCAGAAAGGATGACTGCTGCCGTTGAGCACGAATACTAAATCTGAATGGTGGAGAGCAGGAGCAAAGGTTACATGCTGTGCATAGTTCCTCCTCTGTACTCTCAAAGCTTTTTGGTTCTCTAGGTTGCATATGTGGCACTAAAACGAGATTTTTCTTCTTTCATTGGATCAAATTTTATTGCCAGAGTGGTAGATTGTAATTTTTATTAAATCACTGTCTTTGTCATGCCTTGTATGACACATTTAATGAGCATTTTAGCAGAAATAGGTTAATGGTTTAATGGTTTTCCCCTGTCCTTTCCTTCTCCTCCTTTTAACTAAGCTTGGACACCTCACTCTGGAGGACTACCAGATATGGAGCGTGAAGAGTGCACTTGCCAACGAATTTTTGAATCTGCTTTTTCAGGTATGTTTAGAGGAATTGTAGACTTGAAAATCACAGTAGTTAACTCATGAGCTTTTTGCATGGCCAGGAAGTGCAGCGTCAGCATTTGTGCCAACATGGTTAAAGTTTTGTCTATTGCAATAAGTTATATGTTTTTGCAATTGTGTGTTATCTTGACAGAATTATTTTCTATTTGATTATTATTCCTTTCAGTGTATGGAGATGCCTAAAGCATGATTTGTTAAGGTGAATGTAGTGTACTGTTTATAAAATGAAAAGAAATTTCAAGCGTATCAGCAGTTACATTTTCCATTAGAAGAAAGCTTTGTTCTTAAACAGTTGTTCTTGCAAGTCTTTGCCAAGGAAGTGACACAGGAAATGAGAAAAGGTATTGCTAACTCTTTACAACCACTTTCCCTTTACATTTTCTGTAAAGGCCGTCTAAGGGACCTTGCATTGCTTTCTTAATGAAGCAGTCCTTGAAAGCTGTGATATCATATCACTATTGTGTTACAGAAGCTGAGGATTAAGTATGTACTGAATTTATTTTTAATTGAGCTTGAATTGGATTTTTATAAATCCTTAAAACCTTCATATTTTAGCGCTGGCTCACTTTGTGCAGAAAATAACCCCCTTAGAGTATTTTCATTCACTGCAGTTTGTTCCTTACCCATTTTCCATAAGGTTGGTACTTTGCGTTTAAATTTGTGCTAATTTAGTATTTACCTCCAGCCCTGTGTAACAGTCTCAGTTCTTCCAGGGAGGGCTGGGGACAACCAGTTGGCTCTTTTCTCATCTTACCAGTGAAGCTTAATCCGTTACAGGGTCAGATTGTATCAGAAAAATATTTCATCAGAAAGAAGCTGTGTGTTTTTTAGAAAAAGTAAATTGTTGTTGTAAGAGGCTATCTGAATAGCATACTACTGATTCTCCTGTGTATGACCCTAGATTACTTTATAAATTGCATTTTGAACAATAGTTTTCCAAGAACTTCAGGGCAACTGAGTATTCTGAGGCCATCAGCTACACCACCACTGAAAAGAATAAAATCAGGAAGTTCTGCAAATTCTTCTTATCTTTAATTGCATCAGGTTTTGCGTACAATGCCCTTCTCAAGAAGGGGTGTCTTTATTTTTGGACTGTCTAGCATCAAATATCCTCTCATAACTTAATATTGATGAGCTAACAAATATCTATGCGATATTGAAGTAGAATGAATGCACACTGAATACATTTGTCTTAATGATGATTACACATCACGATTTTTACACATTGCTTTTTGGAGGTCTCATTTAGAATATTTTTTTCTCCTGATAGAGTTGCTACATTTTCATTTTAGTTTTTTATTTTTATTTCCTGTGATAACTTTATCATATGAGGCACCCACATCTCATGCTGCAGGCCTCAATAGCGTGCTCTCATAGGACGGAGCCTGACATTGATTTGTCTGGGCATTAATTTGAAATGTCATGAGCTTGTGTGTCTCATCTGCAGACAGAAAAGCTAAGCAGTCTGAGTGGAGCGCCTTGGAAAGCTTGTCAACAAATTGGTTTGTTTGCAGCAGGGTTAGTTTATATGAAGAATCTGATACTAGCACAGTGTTACTTGGGTTTAAAAAGAAGTATCGGAGCCAGCTGTGTTGTCTGTGCTGGAAAATCTGTTGCTTTCCAGCAGCTAAGGCCTTTGTTTTATTCAGAATGTGAAATGGTCTCTCACACTGTAATATAAATTTAAATAAGATATCTCACCAGTCATTAGAAATTTCCAGCTGAGATGCAAATTGATAGCCTCAGAAGAGACATAAGGAAAAGACTATAAATCATGTTATGAGTAGCAACCAATTTGAAAACCGTCTGGGAGACGAGACAGCTGACCCTCCTCCCTGCAATGGGAAACAAAGACTCCTGCAGAGTCTGTTCCCCTGCTCGTCACTCCCTGCTGCATGCCCCGTGGCTGCGGAACTGCTGGGAGAAACCAGCCGGAGACCTCACCGCAGCCAAGGCCAGGAGGGTTTTGCTAGGAAGAGTGGAGCGAAATATTAGCCATCTGGGACTGCTGTCTTGTACTTGGAATAAAACCCTGCCCAAATCAAGTAGCCATCTAGGGGATGGTGCCTCTTTCTTCTGCATTTGTTTAAAAATATTAAAAAAGAAACATCAGACATTCAGAGAACGTTCTACAATTTTGAGAGCATTTTCAGTGGTGACTCATTGGTTGGACTGCTTTAAACTTCTCCCCCAGTCTCTTCATGTGCTCCTTTTCTTTTCAGTCCCTTATATAACCACTTCTTCCCATTTTTCCCCTTTCCTTTTTTTTAGCCTTTGGCTTATCCTCTTCCAGCAGCTTGCATTCTCCCAATTTCTTATTCCCTCTCTCCAGTACATATAAACCTCTTAACTTTTTGTATATCCGATCCATATCAGTTACTGCCATCTTTCATAGTTTGTGCTTCAGATGTGAAAATAATGAAAATTCATTTTCTGTTCACCTTAAATTGTTTTGGGGCATTTGACATTCTTGGTATTTTTGACTTAAGAGTGGGAACAGGTTGTGAATCTCATAGCTCAAAATACTGCTTTTCTTTAAGTGGTTTGTTCAATTTTGGGTAATCTTGTTACACAATTAAAAATAATTTTCTGAAGAGTCCCATTAAATTTGTTCTTTTCTTTCATTTACCTAATGCTTGTTTTGTAGTGGTGTAATTCTTAATAAGAATTACTTTCCTTTTCCAGGTGTGTCATATAGTTTTGGGGCTACGACCTGCCACTCCAGAAGAGGAAGGACAGATTATTAGGTACGTGTTTCACGCAGAATCTGAAGTGGGTTTCAGAATCGCCTTTTAATATTTTCAAGAGAAGGACTTTAATTTCCCTGTTTCAGCTAATATTTCATATTGTTCATTCTTTGTGTGCAGAGGCTGGTTAGAAAGAGAAAGCAGGTACGGGCTTCAGCCAGGGCACAACTGGTTTCTTATTGCAATGCCATGGTGGCAACAGTGGAAAGAATATGTCAAATACGTAAGTATAATAATAATAATATAGATTGAATAAGTGATTTCTTTGTATTTGGAAATGTGTTGATGAAAAAAGAGTGGGGAGCAAACGAATGCTTAACCAATAATGCTTGAAATTAAGCATCTCCTGTCTCTTACTGGAAAATTTTTTGTTGAATCGTTGTCACACGGTGAGCTTTTCACTGTGATTTCATTGAACTGTCACCACTTTCTGTACTTTGTTTCATCATTCTTGCTTGTCAAAATACTTTTTTGAATAAAAACATACTCTCACAGTAAGTCTTTTGATCCATTTGATAATAAAGCTACCTGTTTTGGTTTTGGTTTTGCTTGGGCCACAAATGCACACTGTATTTTCTGGAAAAATAAAGGAGGGAATTGGTGTAATTTTATTTGTAGTCAATGAAAAGTAGTGCAGTGCCTGATGGTGACCAAAGGAATCGTACTAAAACCTTATAGTTACAGGGTCTTCTTTAATACCCTCCAACTAAAATATTCAAGTTAAAGCATCACCATGAATTTTCCAAAAGAAAGCATATTTAATAAATTTACTAACATTTAGTTGAGGTGGAGATAAATATTCTTTGCAGGTTACACTACCAAGAATGTAGAATAAGTAAAATAAACTATTTCTCAAAAGAGTTTTATATAGTGAGAAGTAATCATATAAGTATTCGAGTTCTTTTATAAATTACAGATAACAAAAATATTCAGAAAACTGCAATGTCTGCATTAACTAACCATGTAATTACAGTTATTCTTTGTGCACAGTGAATTGTACAAATGATGGCTGAAATGCCTGAAATGCTAGGTAATTTGTTCCTCGTCATAGTGTAAGTACTCAGATGTGCACATGATTTCATACCTAGTCCTTTGCATAATAGCACAATGCCATTAGTCACTCTGTCTACCTCTTGAGCAAAAAGGGCACTCAGAATTTCAGTGAAACTCTCTAAATGATTACTGTAATTCTAGCATACATTTTAGTCTTATTTTGATCCTTTTAGCTTTACTGCACAGTTTTGTTATCTGACAAGGTATTCTGTTTAGTGATGTGATAAATAGGGGACAACATAAAACAGGAAATATTCCTTTTTTCAGCAAGGTTCATTCCATGGATTATTTTTTTTTCCTCTCTAAGGCTCAGTTAATTCCCTTTCACTTCTGTTTTCTTATTTATTGACGTTTCTTGTTGTGATGGGTGCTCCAAATTGGGTGGGATTCTTCTTACACCTTGTGTGTACTGGGCGGGCAAGTTATGCTTTTGGGAGAATGCAAATTTTTTTCTCCACCTTTATCTTGCCTAAGTGCGAGCCAGATTGCCTTTGCAATGCTGTTTCTCCAAAGGAAAAAAAAAGAACTTTGTTTCAAAACAAAGTTAGGGAAGACTAAAATGTTGCAGGTTTGAGGGAAGAATGTTTTTTTGTTCTTGTGCTTGCTGTTCTCATTTAACCACATAAAATTCAACAAGGACAATTCTTAAGGTGTTTATAGTCTGTAATTATAGCTGTCTACAATAGTTTTCTTTTTATCTATCTAGACAGAGAAAATAATTCTGGTATTTCACAATTTTTGTGTTGTGCAGAAGAGGTTGTTCGATGGGTTTAACAATTTTGGCCGTTTGTTTCTGCAGATGTTTTATCAGTAGGTGTAGAAAGTTTTTTTTTCTATAAAGCTTGTGATATGCAAAAGTGGTCACAGCTCTGAATTTTGGTGGTTGATTTGACTGATGCTAAATGTCTTTGATATTGGCTTATAATTAACTTTTCTACTTGCCTACCAATTTTAGGATGCAAACCCTGTTGTGATAGAGCCTTCATCTGTCTTGAGTGGAGGTAAGAACTCACTCGTAGCTGCTCCAGCCAGTACTTCAGAACAGGGAGAAGACAAAATGGGAGGTCTTAATTACTTCAGTGGAACAGAAGAAAAGTTTTCAGATAATATTTCTACTGCATCAGAAGCCTCAGAGACTGCTAGCAGCTGTAAGCATAACATCTTATTTCCTTGGAGGTTTAATGTAGACCAGGTTTTAGAAAACTCTATACTGCATGGACTCCTCCAGGCGAAAAGATAATACAGTTTAGAGTGCAGACGTGGCCTACGTGTTGGTGAATTACTAGGATTTTTTTAGTCTGCGGTGGATAAACAAAAAAGTGTTGCTTAAACAGCAGTAAATCTTTTATGCTATGATTAGTTTCTAGAATTGTTTCAGGATAGGTTTTGTCCTGTCATTTATTTTCTGAGTGGGGTTTTTTTTTTCCCCTCTTCATATTAAGTTGTTTCTAGCTCATACCTTGTTGGTATTTTACTGTGTCTTGCAATGAGATGGCCTCAGATACTACACAATGAAAGAAGCAGAAAAATTTAGGAAAAGCATACTTACAGTTTTACAGGGCATATGATTTAAGTGAGTTTATGCATTCTAGGAGCCATCTTTGTGAAAGAATAAAAGATTTTAGTGATGATTTTCATTTGGTTCTTGTGAGAATTTGAGGTGTTGTTTTTTCCTTATAGAACAGCTGATTGTTGAGTCTGGTGTTTATAAATCTATATGTTAAAGTTGTAACTTCAATTTAAAGTAGATAAATCACTGTGATCATTTTGGGGGAGAAAGGGCAGGAAGGGAGACAAGTTTTAGATTAAAGGTTCTTTCTTTTTCTTTTTTTTTAAACCTGAAATTTAGATTTGGTGTTCTGCATAACAAAAGGAGGTTCTGTAAGAATAAGAATATTTGCCGTTTCAAGAGGAAAAATTAAAAATAAGGCATTATTTGCATATATATTCAGGTTTGTACATAGGATTTTTGAGAGTTTGATATTTAAACATCCAGACAACAGGCAAATGCCAAACACATTTGCTTATGCAAACCTAGTTAGGCTGTTTTCAAATGAGTTTCTGTGTAAGTATCTGCCTTGGTATTTGGTTCTCATATATCCAGTTCTTTATCTTTTCTGAAAGTACTAGTGTATTGGTCACTCTGTAGTTTGGAAGGGTTGCATGTTTTCCTGAAGTACGAAGGTTAGCAAACTTCTTCAAGAGCCTTTTTTAAAATAAATTAAAAAAAAAAACAGTTTGATTGATTTATGTTACAGACTCATGAACTGAAATAGAGAGTTTTTTTTTTTCCTTGTATTCTGTTACAGATACTCTTTACTCTGGCACACCAGGGACTGATATATGTTTTGCTAGGCAGCATAATACTTCAGACAATAATAACCAGTGTTTCCTTGGAACCAATGGGAATGCTTTGCTACAACTTAATCCTCAGAAACCAGGAGCTATTGATAACCAACCCCTAGTAACACAAGAACCAGTGAAGGTAAATGAATCTGAGTCATGTGAATATGTGTAAAGTATCTTTTAGCATAGTTTCATCACAGCTTTTTATTGTGTTGTTTTTTTCAGCTAGTGGCTTAATTCTAAATTAACACTGCTTTGTCATATAACAAAATTTGGGTTTCATACTCTTATTTTAAGAGGAAAGAATTGTCTCCTGCTGCTTCTTAGGCTACGTGAGAAGGCAAACATTCCAAATGTTCTTAAACAGCTTCACAAAGCTTACGAATGAAAAAGGCATTTATGAAAACAACTTTCAGCTTTAACTGTAAAATATTTTAATAATTAAACACATTTCTTCAGTGTTTTCAATCTAAATATGAGTTTATTTATATTGCATTAAAACAGAAAATAGTTAAGTAAATAGTAAAACAAACCTGACAGTTTTTCTGGTATTCCTGCAAACAAAAGGTAAAAGAGAGACCACCACCATGATGAGTATAGAATGGCTTTCTTCTTGCAGTATCTGAAGTTCTCAGAGTAGATGACATGAGGGGAATGTAATACAAATTTTATGTTTTAAGGAGCCTTTTAGAGAAATAGTAAGTAGTGAAACTTGAGTGTTAATTATTGTTACATTTCAATACCATCTTTCATTATGAAGAGCAGTTGCTAATGGCTGCTTAAAGGTTTTGAATGATTAAAAAGTGTTTTGTGTTCATGAACTAAAGTTGTTGTAGCTGTATACTATTTTTCCACTTGAGGTTTGACAAAATCCCTTTTTGTTTAAAGGCTGCATCATTAACAATGGAGGGTGGAAGACTAAAGCGATCTCCACAGTTGATTGAAGGAAAGGACTACGTAATGGTACCAGAACCAGTTTGGAGAGCACTTTACCATTGGTATGGAGCAAATCTGTCCTTGCCCAGGCCGGTAAGTTGTGATTATAGAGAATGTTTTCTTGCTATAGCCACCGAGATAGTATAAACAACCTAATGTGTCCAAGCTTCTGCCAGTTGCACAAGGTAATCTTTTATGGTCATTTCCCACTTCGTCCAAAATGGATAGGCTAAATGAAAAGTCTTGAAGAGCAAGCTGGGAAAAAGCAGTCTCAGAAATGGATAGGAAGTTGTGGATATTTACCAGGAGGTTTGCAGCACAAACCCCAGGAGATACTGCAATGGGGTAGAAGTGCTGCACAACTGATCATGATTGCTAAAGCAAACAAAAGTAAACTTGAGATCAGTTTAAAAGACTTGGCATCAAAACACTCATCGTTAAAAGCTAAGATAAATTTTCAACTCATCTGCAAAACCAACAAAATTAAAACTGGGACACATGCAGCTTTAAAAATGCATTTCTTCTCTCTTACAATTTCATGAAGTGGGGGGAAGGTAACGCTGTCTGTCAAGTTCAGTGTCACAGAAAACACAACGTGCAAGATTTGTCAAAGCAGCAGGAGTAGATATTCCTAAAAAGAATCCGCATATGAGCGTATCAGCTTTTGAGTACTGCACAGACTGGTTAAGTTGTTCAGCTTCTAGTCAAAGATTTTTCAATAAAGCATTTATCATAAGCAATCCCTCAAGATACCGATTCTAAAACTGAGTTGGCATCTACTATGTAAGGCTGAATCAGCATGATTCTGGTTAACTGTGTTCTCTGCTAAAAGCAAAGACCAGTGATCTCGCCTGATACACTCATCCAGACAGGCTCTTGTTTTAATTCTTCGGTTTTGCTTTGTGTTGCAGTGTGAATACCAATTGGCTGTGTGAATACCAATTCTTACTTTGAGCAGATCACATATTGAAAATAAATAGTTCTTTTGTGTCATTCTTCTTCGAGGATTATGATAATTGCCTTTATTTTTTCTAATGAGTCACTAAAAATCTTACTGGAGAGGCAGGTGATGATCATCCTCATTCTTCAGCACAAAATCAGTAACCATCCTCCAAAGTTACGGACTACTCCTTCATCAGCAAATAGTTCATGTATAGTGGATTTTTACGTTTCTTACATTTGACAGTAAGCAGAAAAGCCAATGAATCACAACAAAATCGTGAAATAGTTTTACAAATTATTAATGGGTTTCCATTCTGTAATAAAAAATGTATTTGCAAATTGGTAATATTCTGTTTTTATATCAATTACCTAGTTGCCTGTAGTCACTTAAAACCTTGAAATGAAATTAACTAATTAGAAAGAGCTTATCAAAAGTAAGGTGATATTTGTACTTGTTTGCATAAAAGTTTTGTTAAAAGAAAAAAAAACTTGAAGAACTAAAATTCACTTTCTGTAACTGACACTAGTATTTTCTAAATTAAATCTGTAATATCTTTAATTAAAAATTAATTTTGGGCACAATGCAGCATATGTTGCAGAATATAATTTTCAAGTGGGAAAGTGATATCTATTAAATGGAATTGACTCAGTGAACTAATAATTAGTCTTTGTTATCCCAATGACTTTTTTTTTGGTTGCAAAACAGCAACAGTATTTCTGAAAGAGAAGCAATAATTACATAGTGATAGTCATTGTTAAATGTTAAATTGTTAAATATAATTTGCTCACAATTCATTGAGCTATCTCTCTGTTTCTCTGTGTGTAGTATTTCAAAATGATTAACAGGTCATAATCATTTGGAGCTAAAGCTGGCATGCCTTGAATTATTAATATTGAATTTATTAAAAAATAGGCTGGTGTTAGAGGCAAGAAAAATTGAAGTAATTTGCTCTGTTCACTTAGAGGCATTGGAAACTTTATCAAATTTCTGATTAGTATAGGGGTTGATTTATTCTCTGCCAGGTAGTCTCTTAGAGGAGCTACACTTTAAAAAAGGAAGGGAGGGATTTTTTTTTTTAATGGTAGCAATAGAGATTAGGTATTTGGTGTCACAAATATTCAGTGTGACAAATGAGAGTGATTTTTGACAATTTGGTCTGTTAGCCACAGTACTGGCAATTATTTTACAGTAAAAAATCGCTGGCTTCTGTTACCCTCCTCCCACACGTTCTCCATGGAAACAAACACCTTTCATGATCCAGAAAAGGCCACATCTCTTTATACACAGCACAAACTAATGTGCTTCAGATTTTTGCAATAAGGTCATTAGAAAAGAGAATTCTATTCAGAATGAGAAAATTTTCATTTTGGTATCGTGTCTGCAAAAAAATGTAAATAAAATATGTATAAACTTTAGCTTTTCAGTCCATAATTGAGGAATATTTTGACACTTAGTTAGGAGGACCATCTGATTACTTGAAACCTTTTATAGAGGCACTTCCAGTCACGGTCTCCCACCCTGCAGTATGTTGTTTCTTTCCAGAAAATGTTACCACTCTTGTTTTTGTTGTAGCTGAAGTTTAATACCATGGCACTTCAGTGCATTATATTCCTTCTCACCACTTAAGCTGAGTGTTTTCTTCTGCTTCACATGGTCACAAAAATAGGGAACATTCCTGCCATTTATGTATGTTTGTGCTTGGGCAGATGTAGGTAGCAAAATTTTTGTAGAAATGGTGACTGAAAAGCTGTAAGTTGTGTTCTGGGGTGATTTCAGCTTTTTCTGTCAACATATCAAAATGCAACAAAAGTAAGTTTCAGTCTGTTCTTAGAATATGAAGGTTTTATTTCAATCCTATAGTTCAGAAAGTTCAGAACAGATGTCTTATACAGCATGTGTGAGTTTTTTCAACAGTTGTGAAATTTTTATATTGAAGTGTACACTGCATAGAATTAATGAAATTCATTGTAAATTCACATGTATTTCGGGAATTATAAAAATGTTCTTTCCATGTTGTGGTACAGGAAGCAGTACTCCATAAATAAGGTGTTTGCTTTTGATAATCTACAACTGATAAACTTCACAAGTGCTTAGAAATCAGTAAATTGTTATTCCTGTGGATATTTGCCTAAGACCCCGTAAGAAGTTCAGAGGATTTCTTATCTCCTAGTAAAACATAGTTTATTTTTTTAACCACCTGCTTTAGTTATTACTTTCTGTTCCTATTGGGATTTCCTACATGTTTGGATCCAGCAGCGTCTAAAATGTGTTTTAAACATCTTTACTAGGTGATCAAAAACAGCAAAACAAATGTGCCTGAACTCGAGTTGTTTCCTCGTTACCTGCTCTTCCTGAGACAGCAGCCTGCCACTCGAACGCCACAGTCAAACATCTGGGTGAATATGGGTATGATGAGCCTGAGAATGTTTCCTCAGCGTTTACCTAGAGGTAACTTAAGAATGCAGCAAGAATACAAGTGCGCAGTTTCTAAGAAAGCGAGACCCGCAGCTGTAGAAGCTTGCTGCCACTGTGCTTGCACACCAGCTAATCAACTGTAAGGCACAATCAGCACTTGGTAAAGATTTACAGCTTTCCTCCTATCTTCTCTTTAAAGCAAGAGGCATGAAGGGACCGTTTTCAGGGAAGTCAATGAAGTCGCATAGTTACTGCAAGTAGATTGACGAGGTGAAAGTGAGAAACGAGCACTGTGTAAACTAAACAGCTAAGAAGGGCCGGTCTGACTATTCCTGTTGATAGTTAATTTTGTAGCCATAGAATAGACGTGGCTGTGTTTTGGAGTGGGTGTGTGTATCTGATGGTAGAGTGGTATAGTAAATGAAATCAGTGTTCAGCCAGCTGGTTCAGAGTTACTTGGGCAGCTAGGCTTTAATACCCAAAATTATTTAATATGCTTTAGAAAGCAATTGAGTTAATAAAATCTGAAGATTATTATTTAATGCAGTTCAGAAAGACAATTAATTAGAAAGTGTAAACATCCAACTAAAATACATGTGCCATAATTGCGGTAGTAATACTCACCAAAAGATTGTACAAGTAGTGGGCTATAAGAGTAATCTTTACATTGCAGCTTCACATTTCGGCTGAAAGGTGTTGCAGGATTTGTTTTCAGTTATCAGTTTCAGTTGCATACTTGCCTTGCACAATAGGCTTGAAGAATACCTGATGTTCACATGCATGTGCATTTGGATACACAGATATACATATGCATCCACAGTAACATATGTCCAGAAATGGGCTCACCTGACTGCTGAAAATTAAATCCTTTAGCTTTACTGGTGTTAGCCTGTGTGAAAAAATCTCATGCAGATGCTCAGTTTTTCACTGCTTTGGTAGAATCTCAAACTTAACGTGTAGATAGTGGCTGCTTGCTTGATCAAGTTCCGCTACAGAAACTGCCTGCTACCCAAATTCATTTTTCCTACTTGACCTAATGAAATGGAAACTGCTTTGTTTGGACATCCTAAAATGCCCAAATTCAAATGAAGAGAATCTTTTGATGTGCCAAATTTGATCTTGATTTGGAATTATTTTGCTCTGCACTAATTTATTTGGCCAATCAGTTATTAATCTTTTTGAGTTTTCAAATGTGCTTTCTTGCTGTAATCTTACAACTAATCCTCTGATCCCTAATATCAGAAAATGCTTTTTTGTTTATTTAAAAAAATGATTACTTTGCTTGATATACTGAAGCAAAACTGATGCTTTCATAGAATCATTAAG